CTGCAGCAAGCTGCGCAGCGCCTCCGCTGCGAGCTCCTTCACGAAGATCACGAACTGCGCTTGCGCGAGCGCGTCGCTCTCCGCGTCGCTTATCGTGTCACGCATTGCGTCGCTCGGTGCGTCGTCCGCCGAGTGCGGCGCCACCGCGGCCGGTGCGTCGCAAAACAGGAACAGGAAGACGGTTTCTGCTGCCGTGTGCACCTGGTCGTGCAGCGCCACGTTCGGGTTGTGGCAGAGCGCCATCAAGAAGTGCAGCGTCAGCGGGGCTGCGCGTAAGCAGTCGCTGCGCACGAGCTCCGAAGCGAAATGCGCGAACATCGCGAGAAACACCGGTACGGTGCTCGCGGGCACCGGCGCCGTCGAGAAGTGCTGCAGAAACTTCTCGAGCGTCGGTGCCGGCTCGCCCGCGTCCGTGGCGGCAGGCGCAGTGCGCAGCCGCTCAAGCTCGCTGACGTAGCAGCCGATGATCCGCTTCGCGAATAGGAAGTCCTCCTGCACTGTCAAGTGCGACAGCAACTCGGGAACCAGCACCGCGGCCTCCAGCGCCGGCGCGGTCGCGCGCCCCGCGCCGTCCGCACTGAGGTAGCGCCGCAGCCGCACTTCCGCGCGTGGCTGCACCGCGAGCAGCTGCTCGCTGCAGTAGCGCGCGTACGGCAGCACGCGCAGCTCGGCGGTCGCGACCGCGCCGCGCGGCGGCGTCGCTGCCGGCGCCGTCTGCAGCCAGCGCAGCCGGAGCGCGGGCACACAGGGCGTCGCGACGGGTCGACTGAAGTAGCTGTGCACGTCTAGCTGGTCTACCTCGGCACGTCCGCCGCAGCGCGGCGAGCGACGGACGTCGAACTCCTGCCGCGCGAGCAGCTGTGCGGCGCGCAGTTCCTGCGCCGTCAAGCAACAGCTGCGCGCCGCAAAGCCGTGCGAGACGCGCCGGCACGCCTGCAGCAGCAGCCGCAAGTTACCCTCGACCCAGTCGTCCAGAATCTCGCGCGCCTCGCCGCTGAAGTCACTGAAATCGCGCGCGTCGTCCGAGCAGGCTGCGGCCAGCCACGCCGACGAAACCATGGCTCGCGCCGCGCTGTATACCGCTTTAATAAATTTTCCCTTTTTACGAGCACAATTTGTAACTCGTCTGCTCCACGATCATCTGGATGTTATTCGCCTTCGCGACGATCAACCCCAGTGGCCGCTTCGCGGTGGTCAATTGCATCTCTGTATTCTGCATAAATTGCTCCGCGTCGTCAATCACCATGTTCCCCAGTGCGTCGACCGCCAGCAACTTGCCGCTGACTGCATGTGCGCCACTCCCACTTACTGCACTCGTTCCCGTACAAGTAGAACAGCGCGGGCTTGTTTAGAAAGCTCGTCATGTTGTCGTTGGAACCAGGCTTCGCCTTTGCGAGCGTCATCGCACCAAACTCGCCAATAGTCGAAATAATAAAACACGCTATTTCTCTACGAGTCGCTGTCGTCCGGCGCGGAGCCGCGCTCCGCGCCACAGTGCGGGTCGACGACCTTGTTTAGCTGGTGACGCTGGAGCGCGGTCTCAAACGCTGCGCGGTCGATCGTCTTTGCGTTGCCAAACTCTTCAAAGCCCACAAACGTGTGCACCACTTGGCCCCGCAGCAGCGCCACTGACACCGGCAGCACTTTCACGCGCAGCTGCGCGCACAGCTGCGCGTGCTTCTCAACGTTCAGCTTCAAAAAGAGTAAATCTAGCCGCTTCGGCGCCAGCTCCGCGCAGACCGCTTCAAGCTCTGCAGTCAGCTCGACCGCGATGTCTGGCTTGTAGAAGAACGCGAAGATCTTCACGCTGCGTTTGGTGTAGTCGAGAAAGTCCAATTCGTTCTGAGACTCATGCAGCTCGCCGTGGCCCAGCCTGCGCCACTCGCAGTCCGCACGATGCTTTGCGATCAACTCGCGGCGACGCTGGCACTTCAGTCGCTCCAAGTCGTCCTCGTCGAGCGACTCGAGGTGCTTGATTTCGCTGTCCAGTTCGTTCTCTTTGTTCTCTAGCGCGCGCGCCAAGTTTTTCACCACGGCTTGTTGCAGCAGAGCAGGATTCCGCGTCAGCTGATTCTGCATAGTCGTCGCGCGAGAGTAGCTGGCGAGTGAGTTGCGTTCGCGCAGCGCTAATTAAATTTGAAGGATTTTGAACGATTATTTGCGCTTCTCGCCGCGGAGTTTTCCCAATGTAATTTCATGCGTAAAATCTACGCTTACGTTTTCGCAGCGCTTGCGCTGAGTTTGATCTTCGGGCTAGCCTACCGGCTGCTCGGACGCCGGTTCGCCGGTGGCGCCACGTGCGCTATAGTTCAGATCGGCTCCGGCTTCCCCGACTCCGCCGTCCGCCGGCACAGGCAACACCAGATCGGTTTACGCCGCTTCATCCGATTGCCTGTGCGAACGTCAGGCGAAGATTTTTGCGCGCAACTGAACCTGCCCACCGAGTCCGAGCAGCTGCTCTGTCGTGCGAACAACGACTTTCCGCGGCTCTGGCAGATCGTTGGCTACCAATTGGCAAACGTGTCAGTCATAGAGCTGCCTGCAGCTCTCGCGCTTATCGACGCGGGTGAGGCAGAGTCGCTCACTGCTGAGATGCTGCGCGACTTCTCGCAGTACATCGCTCAGGAGTTCGTCCAGTCGCCAAAGCCCGTCACGCACGTGTTCATCACGCATCACCACGCTGACCACGTCATGGGTCTCTCCGGAGTGCTCAAATACAACAGGAGTCTGGCGCCACGCCAGCCGCCGGCGATCGTGTCGTCGCGCGCGACCTACCTCGAGATGCAACATTTCTTCTCAGAGCTCGTGCACTCGAAGCTGCGCCGCGCAGCAAAACAGTTTGCGCCGGCACCCGCGGAGCCGAGAAGCGCTGTACAATCAGGCATCGGTAGAGTCTTCCAGTGGGAACCGCCCAGTAGTGAAAGCATCGTTTTCCCGAACTTAGTGGTAGACCTGCCCTCTAACGGAGAGCCAGTCGCGCTGGAGTTGGATCTCGCACTGCGCCACGGAGCACAAACCGAAGCGTTAAAGCTCGAAGTGCAGATGTTTCACGCGCCAGGCGAGAGCTACGATCAGACTATGATTTTCATTCCCGCGCTGAGGTACCTCAACGTCGGCGACAACTTCTATTTCGCATTTCCAAACATCTACCCACTCCGCGGTGGAGAAGCGCGCGACACGCTTCTCTGGGCCAGTTCGCTTGAACGCATCTTATACCGTTTCGCGCAGCACCTTGAGATTCTCGGCACCGGCCACCTAAACCCCGTAATCGGCAATGCGCAGATCCGAGCACTGCTCACACGCTACGTTGACGGCATGCGCTTTGTTTATCTACAGACGCTACGCCTGCTAGACCAAACCAGCGACGTCAAATCCGTCGTCAGCGGAGTCCTTCGGCTTTTTCAAGAACGTTTTCCGCGCTTTGAAAATACTGGTGCGCTCGACGCGCACAGTGTAGCTGTCACGGATCCGCTACTCCCGCTTTACGGCCGAAAGGAATTTGCTATTCGCAGCATCATCACCTCCAAAGTTGGCTGGTACGACGAAAACCCCGCGTCTATCTTCCAGCAGGAGTCGAGCGTCATCAGCGATCTGCTGCTGGAACAACCGAAGCCATTGCGCGCCACTGCCGCCGAGCTGCTCGAACGCGGCCGCTGCAAAGACGCTGTGGTGCTGCTAGACGCTGTGGCAGCTGCGAACAACGCTGCTAGCCAGGCGCGCAGTCTGACAGCACCTGCAAATGCGTTTCTCCACGAGGAGGAGTGCAAGAGTGCGCTGCTCGACTACATCTCTGACTCGCTCATTGACAAACAGAAAATTGAAGAAAAAGATCTCGACCGGAGCGACCTCAAGAACTACGTCGCGACTGCGCTGCGCCAAGTGCTTGCGCTCGAAACCCAGCAAGTCGGCTTACCGGTCGACCCTGAATTAGAATTCTGCAGCACCCGGCTGTTCGACTCGCACAACGCGGAACCAAGACGGCTCGAACCGGAAGCCGCTTCGCAGCGCGCCGAAGCAGCGGCAGGCAATTCGCCAGCGACGCTTGAAGAAGAGGTGCATCCCACCGCTGAAGCTTCGGAGTCGTCAACGGAAGACGCGCTGCGCGCATACTCACGACTCGGCTTGCCTTGTCTGTACAAGCACGCGCTCGCTTGCGCCGCAAAGTCCGAAGTGAGTGCCACGCTGCGCAACTGGATTCTGGCGAGTTTGAACCCCGCTCCGCGACAGCTCGCGCTGGCGCGCTACTACCGAGAAATGCGTCGGAAACTACCGCAAAGCATTCCAGACATCGGCATAGTCCTGAAAAACTTGCCTGCGCGTTTTGTGCCGTTCGCAAGCTTCGAGCAGCGAAACAGTTTGCTCTTCTTTGCCGTCGTGGAGAGCGGGCCAAACGACGACTCGGGTTCGGAGCTCGAGCCACTGAAAAACCAGCTCAACTCGCCGTTCGTGCACTTGGCTGCTACCGCCCGAGCCGCAGAGCGCGTGTTTGCGTTCAGCTTGCGCAACAACGTGCTGAACGTCGACGAAGTCTCGCAAGAGGCAGCTGCGGAGCTGCTGCGTATGCGCCACGCAGAACCTTTCGTGGTGCGCTTCAAAGAATTGGATTTGCGGCTGTTGCTCAGCAACAAGCTCGCAATCACTGACATCATGTTAGGTAAGTCACCGTTTAATCCTTTTAGGCGGCTTTCTGCCCTGGCCAGCTGCCGAGCCGCTACCGTTTGGCTTGTGTGAGCAGCCGGGAGCTTCCTGCAAGAAATACGACGTCTTCCGACGCGTGCGGCATTTCAAAAACTACATCTATCTACTACTTCAGGTGAACGCCAGCTGAAGTAAATGCTACGGCTGACAACGACGGTGAGTTAACTAATCTAAGCGATTTATTTGCGGAAGTGGGTGCTCAGTGGAACTGCGGTTACCCTCCCTGCGGCAATGTAGTTGTCAAGGTTGTACGGAACGCCTGTGTGGATTTGTTCGTCCTTTAGGTAGTTAGCAGAGCATGGACCGGGGTACAAATTTTGCTCGTAGTACCCTTCGCGCACCAGTTCCTCAGTTTCAGGCATCGCGGGCTGGCACTCGAGATTACCGTACGGCATCAAGCTTGAGTACTCAAGCTTCCATGGCATGACTTTGTCGTGCAACTCATGACTCAGTCGTTTACGCGCGACTTCTTTTGGAAGATACTTGTACGGTTCATTGACGTCGGCTGAAGGTTTCGAGAGCAGCTTCAGTCGGTGCTGCGGATCATTGTCTTTCGCGAGCTGGCTAAATGCTATGTTCTTCTGAGCGACGGCTTCGATTATTTGGTTGAGCATCACCGGGTTGATGTTGCTCGAGTTGCCCAGAAAGTGGTTGAAAATCGGGTCTGGCACCGTGTCGCCTTCCATCACCAACCCCAGGATGTACTGTCGCTGCTGGTCGCTGAGCTTGCTCAGCAGTTCTTTCTTGTAGCGAATGATTGTGCGCCGCTGCTTCCACTCGCCCTTGTACTTGACCCACCACAGATCGTGGTCGCGGTTCCGCTGTGAGTCGCAGCGCAAAACCATAGTGTCATAAATCCACTGCAGCTTGTAAGCACCGCCGCAGTACTGCTTGCCTTTGCGCGTGCAGCAAAGCAGATTCGCGATCGGCAGCAGGTGGTTGCTCGGACACTTGATGCAGTACTTGTGTTTCCTACGCATACAGGTGTTTGACGCGTCTGTTTCCAGGAAGAACACGGTGAACATTTCCCCGCAGTAGGGACAAAGCGGAATCTCTAAGTGGTGCGATGAATTTCGCACTTTCCATTTCTGGCAATGGATTTGCTGACTGTTTTGGATAGAGTCGTCCCACTTGTTGTGCTGCCCCTTGATGTTCAAGCTGCAGATGTAGCGGATGGTGTCGTAACCGGATTGCTGCGGGTACCACGGGACATCGATATCCGCTTTCAATTTACAGTGCGGGCAGTTTTGTACTGGCTTGGCAGCGATCAGGACAGTTCCGTTGCTACTTCTGTACGGGTTCGGCCATCGGGCAAGCATCCAGAACTTCGTTTGATCACCGGGTCACAATTTCCTTGTATGTCCCAACTATCGCATATATTTTCTGCGCTTTTGTTTGTATCGAACATGTTTGCACAACGAATTTATGCGTTCGCTCGCCGAAATTTTTGGACGAACAAATTTTTGACCGTTGCAGTTTTAACAGAAATTTTTATTCATTTTCATATTACAACGGGCTGTCATGGATCTGGAGAACTGCTCACCGCAGAGCGATCAGCAAAGCGCGGAGGACGCACTGCTTGCGGAGAAGCGCGAAGTGTTGCGCTGCATCTTGAACAACGGCACCGTTAAGCCGTCAACCACGTTTGCGTATCCGTTCAAGAAGGCGGTTCGCAATTTTTACCCCTTGCTTGAAGCCAAAATGGCTTACATGCGCGAGTCGGAAAACCAATCTGAGCAAATTACGGAGGACAAAATTGAGAAGCAGATCATGAAAAGCTTTGAGAGCTTCCTAAATTTGTGCGTAAACATGGAATGCGCGAACTAGCGCGTTTTGCGAGTTACGCGACTCAAAACTGAGTCTAGTTGAGCGCCACTTTTTGAGTGGAGCTCATTCCAAGTACGCCGATCGTCGAAGGCTGGTTGCGGAAGGATTTTTGACAGGTTTCGCACCGCGCGAGCAGTGCGTCGAGTGCGGACTTCACGATCTCTAGCGCCTCCAGCTGGCCGACGGCTTCGACGGTGAAGTAGAAGTCTGACGTCGAGAGCTGCATGCTGATGTACGCTTGAAGCTCTTGCTTTTTCAGAAAGTAGTCCAAGTCCTTCGAAAACGAGTTTTTGTTGGGGTCGTCTACACACAAGTCGAAGTTTGTTGCGGAGGCGTCGAGTTCGCTCTCGTTCACGCCGTGAACGCCGACTTCTAGCTGCGTTGCGGAGTCGATGAGCTTGAACAGTCCTTTTGGCGTAATCTTCATAATGTGCAGCTTGGCGGAGTTCGGCACAGAGCGCTGCATTGCGGCGTTCACCGAGATGTGCGACACATTGACGTAGGTCGCGGTTGCGACGGAGGACCACTTCGTGTGGATCTTGCCAATGCCTTTGACGGCTTGCATTTCGCAAGAGAACTTCGAGCCTGGCGGAATTTTGCCGATCGGGATAGCGCTTTCGCTGTGCGTCGCGAGCGAAGTGTCATAATAACGCACAGGAGGTGCGTTGGCCAACGGCTGAATGTCTTTTTCGGTGATAGTATACAGCTCCGTGCCGGTGGCCACGTCGATGGCGTACTTATGCACGCAGTTCTGGCAATAGTCTGCGCAGGAGCACTCGCTGCGGTACACCATGTCGCGAGCCGCAGAAGATTCTAGCGGGATTAGACCGAGTCGGTGCACCAAAAATTCGTCGGGATACTTGGTAGTGTTTTCGCGGATGGAGACCACGTCGATGGCGAGCGTCGGAACCTCGCTGATGATAGCCCGTCGTAAGGCGTTCGCGATGGAAGCATCGGCGTTCCTGAGGTAGAATTCGATGACTTCAGGCTTCTGTTCAACTATCTGGAGAGTCGGGTAAACGGCGTAGCGAGCAGCATTGGCGAGACTATAGCTATTCATTTATGCAAATGTAATTTCCGCATTTTCGCAAGATGCTGGCGATGGCGCGTCGGGCCAGTCTGCGGTTGCGCGCATAGGAAGCGCGCAGCACCCGCGGTCGCGCTTCTGCTGCAATCAGCCACGCGCGCGCTGCGCGAGAAGTTCACAGTCAATAATTGGGTATTTCCGCTGCGCGTTTTTCAACGGGCTTCAAATAATTTCGCAGCAAATTAAACTCGAACTAGATTCTGTGCGCCACAGTCCATGTGCGGATTAGTTCGCTCAAATGTCCGCGCATAGTCGCGGGTTTTTCAGTGCAGAACTCGACTGCAGAGTTTGATGTCGCGAAAGTCGTAGCACATGCCAGAAGTGCGTGTTGACACCGATGTGCCCGCAACTGTTGCGGTTGCGCCGTTTCCAAGTCCGTGGTGTACGAGCGTTAGCAACGGAGTGCAGATTACCTGCACCGTTTCGCTCGGTCACCGGGTGCCGCTTTGCGTAGTAAAGAATCAGAACGAGCTGCTGTTTCGTGTGGGCGCAAGAGAGTTTTGTAGCACAGACGTGCGCGAATTTTACTTGTCGGATTTGCGCGATGACCCTCAGTCTGGTTGCGTGCTCGGCGCGGTCAGACTGGGCAAGGCTGCTGAGTTGCGGTTTGCACGGCTGGATACGGCTGATGGAGCGTGCGTGCTGCACGTCGGCGCTGCGCTGGACGCCGCACAGGAGGAAAGGCTGATTGACGCGTTGTTTTTCAGACACGTCCTGCACTTCGATGCGTGCAGCGGCAGCGTCAGCTTCGAGCCTTCGCAGCGCACTGGAGCAGTCGGCACGACTACAGTCTGGGACGGAGTCACGTGCGTATGGCGCGGCGTCGTTGCGAGGTCTCTGCTGTTAGTGGATCCCACCTGCCAAACGGTCAGTCGAGTGTGTGGCGAACGAGACGCAGTGCGCACTTCGCGGTTTGAGCCAGGAGTTTTCTTTGACGGCTGCTCGTACTGCGACGAGAGTTTGCTGCTGACGTGCGGTTCGCGCTGCGTGTGCGTGCTTGACTATGCTGAGATCTATCTGGGAAAACGGTTGTCTATGCGCGAGCTGTTGAAAGAAATGCTGCGAGTGCTTAGCGTGGCTGCCGACGCCGCGGACGCAGTTGAATCATTTGCTCACACGTGCGCCGCTGTACTGCTCAAACTGTTACCTTTGACTCAGCGAGATATCGGGGCGCCGCAGGAGGTAGACGTGTTGCTCGACTGTCTGCTGTTTCTGCACCTTCAGCAGGACGTCGAGCTCAATGCGTTGCCGAGTTTTCGAGAGTGCGCCGCGAAGGAGCCACGCTTGATTTCCGCTGTGTTTGGCTCGTCGTCGCAGAAAGTTCTCAGCGAAGCGGCGGACGAGCTGGGAACGGCCACGTTGGAGCTGCTAGATGCCTACGTTGCTAAGCTTCTCGAGTGCTTCGAGACGACCGAAGTGTTGCGCAGAGCGAACAACGCTTTGTTGCGTGATCGCGTTTTGCTAAAGTGCCTTGCAGCGTCGGACGAAGCAGTAGACTGTTGTTGGTTTGCAGACTCAATTGCTCTATTGTCGAAGTACGATGCCAATAAATGCTGTTCGGTGTTCGCCGAGTTATGGCAAAGAAGCGTACAGACCGGCGACGTGCGCGCGCTGCGCAACCTGGTCGCTCAGCTCAGCGACTGCAGCGCCGAATTTACGGCGAGCGTGCAGAGTTCACTGTCCAGTCTACGAACGTTTTCGAGTATTGTGCAAAAGCAGAGTCTGCAGATTGGTTTCGTGCAGTTCGCGCGAGACGTGTTAGCGCTCGCAGATGCACTTCAGGCGTTCTTGGAAAACGACTCGAGCGCTGCTTCTCCCGCTTTTTGGTTTTGCGGCGCTTTGACCGCATCTGAGTGGCACCAGGCTTGTCAGACTATTGCGGATTTGGCTGCCGTTGAATTCGAGAAAAGCGCGTTCACAGTTGCCGTTCTGCTGGAAACCAAAGGAGTCGAGACTGAAGCGCTGAGTGTGATCATTGGAACGCTGGTGCGCTCGAAGCAGTATCGGCTCGCGGCGGTCTGTTGCGTGCTGCCCGGTGCGCGCGTTCACCTGATGGAGCTCGGCCACGAAGCGGCGCTGAAGCTGTTTGGAACTTTGCAAGAGCTCGAAGCTGCTGTGCTTGGCGTTCCGTTACCGCGCAGCGGCGGAGTTGACTACCGACTGCTCAGCATAGTGCAGTGGCTGTGGAGCGCGCTGCGGTACAAGGATGAACTAGCTGACCGCTTGGCAGTTGCGATAGCTGCTATTCGGAATAAAATTGGGAGCGTGTCACTGGTGCCTGCAGATCTGGTTAGCAAGCGGCTGGCGCAAATGGCGTGGCTGCAGGCCTCGGAGTTAACGCCGCAATTTAAAATATTAAATAGCGCTGCGGTAGTTCTACCGCTGAATAGCTCAGCGTTGATTTAGTGGGCAGCGCAAAACGCGAAATCTGACTCCGGCTGGGCGGCAGCCGCTTGTTTGTACGGAAGATGAACCTCATTCTGGTTGAGGAGACTGACGTATCTCCAACGGGACGCGCGGCGCTCAGCGAAAGACACGTTCAACATCTGGCAAACGTGCTGCACAAGCGCGACGGAGAGATAGTTTCGATCGGGATCGTGAATGGCCGCAAGGGATACGGCCAGTTGAAAGGCGAGCCGTCTGCAAGCGGCGCGGCCATCTATGTCCAGTTGCTTCCTGTGGAAATTCGCGACAGAGACGCTGCGCTGAAAGCAGTGGGGCTGTACGAGGCAAACTTCGTTGCTGCGCGGCACGAACCGCAGGCCCCGGCCCGTGCGAAGCGCGCTGCGGAAACCGCGACGCAGGCAGCCGACCTGTCTGCTGCGCAGCGCGCCGCGTGGCTCGGCGCCGATCTCTGCGCTGCAACGGCCGAGCAGCGCGGTGAGGCGGGCATTTCCGAAGAGCGTTGCGCGTTTTGCAACGTTCACGTGTGCTACGCTCTCGTGGCGCCCACCGTGATGCACCGAATTGCGAAAGCAGCGGGCACTTTTGGCTTTGCAAGCGTGCAGTTCTTCAAGAGCGCCAAAAGCGAGGCGGGCTACTGGACTGCGAAGAGTGCGGCACAGGCGCAACTCGAAAGCAGCGTCCGACTTGGGCAGGAGCAGGGCTGTTTGACGCGCGAAACTGCTGTAAGCAAGGCAGAGTCTCTCGACGCGGCGCTGGAGCGACTCGCGAACGTGCGAGAAACGGCCGCCTTTGCGCTGCTGCATCCGAGAAGCACTAGCCAGATCGCTGCGCAGTCCTTGCAAGAGTTTTGCCGCGCCCGCCGTGGCGCGCACGAGGTGGTGCTGATTTTCGGGCCGGCCGGAGGGTTTACGGATGAAGAAGTCGAGCGCGTCTGCGCACTGCCGAGCCAGGACGTAACGCTGGTTACGCTCGACGCGCCAGTGCTCACCTGCGAGCAGGCGCTGATTTACACGTGCGGGCAGCTGAGCTGTTTGCTGGGCGCGCGTCGAACGCTGCCGCACGGCGGGCAACGCTAGCTCGCGGCGTGCTTGGCTAGGTACTGTCGAAAATGCTCGAGCCGCGCTGCTTCTCTGTTTTGCCAAGCCGAGAACTCGGCGAGCGCAGCGCTCAGTTCCGCGCCGGCTTGCGGCGTCGATCCGGGCGTTGCGTCTTCGCCGTCAGCGGGCGGCTGCGCGTCGGTGCGGTCCTCGCGCGCGACCGGCGCGGGCGCAGGCGCGGGCGCAGGCGCTGGCGCTGGCGGGAGCGGCTCCACGGGTTCGCTGATCTTCGGCCGCGCGGTGAACAGCAGTCGGCGTTTCTTCGGAGGCGCCTCGCGGCGCTCTGCGCGAGCGCCGGCTTCGCGCATTTATTTTCGAAATTCGCTACTAATCTTTTTCGGCATGGACGAAGCGACCACTGCCGGAATCTACTCGGTGCGCGAGGCGCAGTTCGCGCGACAGCCCGGCACGGGCGGCGAGGCGACGACCAAGGAAGCGTGGTACACCGAGATTGGCCGCGACACGGCGGCCTGCGTGCTGGGAAACTTTGGCATGTTGCTGTACCTGAGCGCAGCTCGCGGGCAGTCACTCGGGCAGACCCGCATGCAGATGACCCGTGAGATAGCGAAGAGTTGTGAGCGCGCGAAACGCAACGCGTGAGCCCGCTGCTGCGGCCTTCACGTCGCGGCCGCGGCGGGCTTTGCGGCGGCGACCAACTGCGCGAGCAGGGCGCTGCGGAACGGCGCAACCAACTTACTCAACAGAGAGCCCGGTCAGCGCATACTCATTTTGGACGAGCAAGTAGCTGATCAGTTTGTGCAGATTGGTCTGCGTGGCCGCCGGCAAGTCGCTTGCGTCGATGGCGCGTTTCAAGCTGGTCATGACGTAGAAGGGCTGGTAGCCCAGCTGCGTCAGCGCGTCGAAGGCGCTGTGCGCCGCGAAAAAGTTTTGAGCGAGCAGGTGCTGCAGCAATTGCGCGACTGCGGTCGCGGGCGGCAGGTCGCAGACCAAGCTGGCGGTCGTCTCTGTCAGCCTGTCGAAGCAAGTCGCGCAGGTCTGCAGCAGTCCGATCGCTTTGCGGCAGTCGCCCTGCGCACTCGTCGCGAGCAGCGCGAGCGCGTCGGCTTCGAACGGAAATTGTTCGCGCTCGCAAATCCGCGCCAAGAGCGCGACCATTTCCGTGGGCTCGATGCGGCGCACGTTGAGCTTCACGCAGCGGCTCTGCAGCGGCTCGATCACTTTGTCTGCGTTGTTGCAGGCGAGCGCGAAGCGCGTGGTGTGGCTGTACAGCTCGAAGATGCGCCGCAGCGTTTGCTGCGCGCCTTCGGTCATGGCCTCGACTTCGTCGAGAATCACGATTTTCGGCAAGTCGCCGGGCAGCGCGACTTTCTCTTGCGCGAAAGACTTGATCTTCGCGCGGACCACGTCGATGCCGCGGTCGTCCGCCGCGTTCAGTTCGAGCACGGCTTTGCCGTAGTGCTCGCGCAGCAGCGCGCGCGCGAGGCACTTGATCGCGCTCGTCTTGCCGGAGCCAGGCTCGCCGCACAGCAGAATGTGGAAGAGGAACTGCTCGCGCGCCATCTTGCGCAGGCAGTCCACGGCTTCGGTGTTCCCCACGATCTCGTCGAACGACTGCGGCCGGTACTTCTCGACCCAGAGGCTGCTCATCGCCGGGACGAAAATATTGCTATTTCGATATTTTATTTTCGACCGGCGCGATGATTGCGCCCGAGTTTCACTTGGTTCGCGCCGCAAAGGGCACGGGTCACACGATCCGCGACGTAACGTGCAACTTCGAAGATCAGGCGAAGGCGAATTTGTTTTTCGCAGCGGGCGTGCGGCAGGTAGCCGGCTTTTACTCCGTAGACTCGCTGCAGCGCGTGCACCCGGCGGAAGCTGACAGCTACTCGACCTGCTGTCTGTACACGGATCACAAAGTGCTGGTCGGCGACGCCGACGGCAAAGTTTCTGTGTACCAGACTGTCAACAAACAGACGCTGCAGACGAACTGCATCTGCAACGCGCGCATCAACAGTATCGAGGAGAACCGCTACGAGAGCGGCAAGCTGTGCAGCTACTCGCTGGGCTCCTGGGACGGCACGGTGTACGTGATCAACCGCGACTCGCTGGAGCTGATCTTCCGCTTCAGCCACTCGGACTTGCGCTTCGCGGTGTGTTCGAGCTTTTACAACGGGATCTACATCTTCGGTAGCCAGCTGGGCAACCTGATGCTGGTGCAGGACGTAATCGTGCTGCGCACGTTTCACCAGTACCACTGCGACATCATCCGCAAGTTGGTGGTGTTGCCGCAGTTTGCGCTGCTAGTGTCCTGCGCAAACGACGGCTTCGTGAAGTTTCTGCACCTGGAGTCTTTCGCGTCAGTCGCGGAAGTGCGCGTGAGCGAGAGTTTTCTGTACTCGATGCTGGTGGAGCAGTGCGACGGCGCGGAGAATCAGTTCAGCGTGCTGGTCGGCGGCGAGAGTGCAGTGTTTAGCTTCGGGTTTGAAGTTTCGGAGGGCGGACGGCGCGTCGAGACGAGCGCGGTGCAGACTGTGCTGGCCGGCTGCAGCTCGGTGTGGTCGATACAGCCACTGACCGCGCGCGACGGCGCGCGAACCGCGCTCTGCTGCACGGACAGCGGCGACCTGCTGGTCTTCTCGAGCGCGGCCGAAGCCGTGGACGACGCGGAAGAGCTGCAGCTTCGCGCGCTGGTGCAAACGAAGCCCAGCAGTAAGGCGGCGCAGCTAGTGCGCGCCGATCTGCCGAAGTTTGCGCAGGCCGCGGAGACGCGCGGTAAGCGTGAAGGGCAGGTGCAGTGCTTTGACGACGAAGAGCAAGACCGCGTCCTTGCGTGCGAGTGGCGCGGCGACCGCTGGGAGCAAATCGGCACGGTGGAGGAGCCGCCGGTCGCCGCACCGCCGGACTTTTACACAGGCGACGACGTATTTCCCGCGGGAACGTACGACTTCATCGTCGACGTCGTGCTGGAGCACGGCTCCGTAATTCTGCTGCCGTTCAACAAGGACTGCGACGTCGCGGAGACTGCGCGAAAGTTCTGCGCAGCGCACTGCCTCTCGGCGTCGTACTTGCAGCAAATCGAGCAGTTCATCACGGCGCAGCTCGGGAAGAGGGGCGGCGGCGTCACCGCCGCGCGCGCACCCGACGCGCCGGCCGCGTTGCTCAGCGGCGCGAAGCCCATAGCGAGCGTGCGCACAAAGGGCTTCGGCGCGGCAGTCGATCAGCTTGCGGCGTTCTGCGCGGCGGAGCACGCCTCGCAGGTGCCGCGGCTGCAGGAGCTCAAGGCCGCGGTCGAGGCCGCCGCGGAGCCGCAACTCTCTGTGCTCCCGCACAACGGGCCGCTGCTCGATTTCCTGCTCGGCGCGGAAGTTTGCTTCGCGCAGTGCGACGAGGCGCAGAGCGCCGCGTTCCTCGAAGTGCTGCGCATCGTGCTCGTTAGCGAGCAGGCCGCGCGCAAACTCGCGCAGGGCAAAACCGCGAGCTTGCTGATCCACCGGCTGTTGCGCGCGACGCGGCCGAAGAACACTTCGCAAGTATTGCGGTGTCTGCTCAACATTAGCTACCACCCCGAGCTCGCGATTCTCATTTGCGACGTGCCTGCAAGCTACTTCAACGAATTAATAGCGTCCAGCCGAAACAAGGATACTTCGATCATCCAAGCCATCAAGAAGAACCTCGGCATCGCCGAAGCTGGCTATAAACTCGACGCCTGGAAGCGCAAAGTAGAAGCTTACACCGCAGCGCTGAACATTCACTGAGAGAGCGGTGCGGAGTTCGCAAGCGCCGTGTAGAACAGACTTCGCGGCGTGTGCTCCGCGCGGGCCATCAGCGAGCGCGCGACCGACTTGCCAGCGTTGAGCAGGAACTGCGAAGTAAGCACCTCGGTCGGCACACGCTTCACGCGCGCCAGCGACGCGCGCATCACCAGCAGCGTCGCAAACTGCTCACCCAGAAACCCCTGCTTGCGGAACAGTCGCGCCGTGCCGAAGCTTAGCGCAGTCCACGTCGTTGCCGCTGCCGCCTGCTTGGCCGCAGCGCGCCGCGCGACCCGCGCGACGGACGCTGCGTCCATGGCGCTCAGCGCAAAATATCCCGTCTTCGCGGCAAACGTTCGCGTAAACTCTGACAGGTAGCACGCCCCAAGCGCCGCGAAGCGCTCACTCTGCAGCCAGCGTTGCGCGCGCCCTGAGACCATGCTAATTATTATTTCTCTTATCCGCGTATTTTTCCATCACGCGATACGTCGCCATGTACGCCGCCGCCTCTGTGTCGAACCCTAACTGCGCCGCGCGCTGTTCTGTTTGCGCGTACAAATCTGCGTCAATCTCCCGCGCCTTGCTGTAGATCTCCAGCCAATTCACCTCCTCTGCGCTACTCGGCTCGCGGCTCGCAGAGTTTTCTAGCGAGTTTTCCAGCGAGTTTTCCGGCGCACTACCCGACGTGCTTTCCGGCGCGCTTTCCGGCGCACTTTCTGGCACACTTTCTGGCACGCTTTCCGGCGCGCTTTCCGGCGCGCTTTCGCTAGACAGAACTTCGTCTGTGGCGGCGGCCCGCGCACCCGAGTCGCGCTGCGACTCCCCGCTGGTCCCCGCGGGCTTCTCCGCAGAGGCTGCGCCGACTGCTTTCAGAATCGTCAGCGAGCAGGCCAGGAAGCAGATGTGCAGTTGCTTGAAGCCTGTTGGGTACGCAAAGCGCTTGAGCACCAGCGACATAATGCACTGCTTGCCGAGGTTCATGATGCCCGGGCAGTTTTCGGTGAGCAGCGGCAACAGCTGCTCTTTGCG